TTAGCCAATAAAAAAACTGGGCTCCTATCTCAATACCACTGAAGCTATCATCTTATTGTTTTTAAATAATTAGCATTATGTCTTCAGTTCAGGGGCCATAAAGGGGTCAGGACATGATCTACAGGGGCACTGGCCCCCGTTGGCCCCTGTCAGGAACCGCCCATGGCCATAACCTTTGTAAAAACCCATTTTCTGTATATGACATTTCATAAAAAAGGACTAATGGGATAAATAGGTTTAGACTCTGGGTATGCTGGTCAGACTGGGTATGCTGGTCTGACAGAACACCGGCTTCATGGGCCGATTCTTTCCCTCCAGCTAACGTGTTTGGCAGAGAGCAGAGCGGACAGACAGGAAGGAAGCACAGGAGAGAACTGAGAAATGCTGGCAAGCACAGCAGAAGTTGAGAGAGGAAATGAAACATGTAAAAATCAGTTATTTAAAACCAAACTAAACAGAGAGTATGGGGGATATTTTAGCTTTAAATCAATGCATAAAAAAAAACACTCCCTTTCATAACGGGTTCCTAAAGTTAAGCCTTTCCCAACGGGCTGGAAGGTCTGCATGGTTGAATGAAGCTGAGTGCGTCCTGCTGCCATGCCTGATGTCCGCAGCAGAAACAAGGAAACTACCCAAGAAGCAGGCCTCACAGCATCTATGTTTGTCCTCTGCCAGCTTCCATACATGCTGACCACGCTGCTGCCACACACCCACAGCTGAGACAGCTCATTGATTTCTGTTCTTCCCTTTTGCTTCAGCTCAACTGCAACATAACAGCTCCTGATGCAACGCAGATTACAAAATAAGAGGCAAAACAAATATCTGAACTGATGGTTTGTTATTTTCTTCTTTTTTCTGTCTTAATGTTGGCAGTGGGCTTTAGGCTGCCCTGCAAGGCTTTAAACCTGGGTTTAACCGGAGACTAAGCCATTCTCAAGCACATATCAAGGAGCTCATTTTGAGCCTGGATCCAGATTTATTGTTGATTCTGTTCATGGTGGAGAATCCTGCTTCACAGCAGCAGGTTGAGCCAAACATCCTCTAAATGTGCAGGGTCATCTTTGAGCACGCCATTTCACTTTTCTTTCACCAGTTCACCGCAGTTCTTCCAGCAGTCCACACTTTCTCTGCTCTCTTTTTCTCATGGTCTTCTCCTTCTTTCCCATCGCCCGGCTTGCCACAGGTTTGCCTGCTGTGTCTAAAAGTAGCAGCAGCAGCAACCCAGACTGACAGCTCATTGGCTCATTTGGATCACGTGCAGCCTGGAGCCGGACGCTCCCCAGGGCTTTACCGTATTAACAGGAGAAGAGGCGCAAGTGAAATTAGACACAGGTTTTAAGACAGGATTGTTTTTTAAATCGAAATTTTCCAACTTTTGGGACAATATTGTCTGATAAAGAATGAGTTGAAATTGAAATGTGATTTCCCTACAACTTTAAATAATATCAAACAAAATGAAAGGCGGGTTCAGCTTGATGCTTTCTCTCGTTTTATCACTCTTTACCAAATATAGTCAAACCAGATGAAAGTGCGCATTCAGCTCGGCAAAGAACTCATGCTCTTCCTCAACACTGAAGTCCTCAGACATTTTTCTTTCGTTGTTTCTTTCTTTGCACAGGTAAACAGCACATTTCTTCTTCTACGCTTGCATTATCGGCAGAGCAGACGCTGAATGCGCACTTTCATCTGGTTTGGTCTGCCGCGGTTTCCGTAGCGTCGTGAACGCGCTTTCAGGAAATCCTATACACTACTGTTTATGCTCTAAAACATTCTAAATGACTTCGTTTCGAGTAAATTATGGACGCTACCCACTCAGGACACTTGGAATACATTGGACGAGCAGTATGGAGGAATATTGACACGTTTTTTGTGGACTTTTATGGACCTTTCTGCCTCGGGCACCATAGACCTCCATTATCTGAATGTCAGCAGACAGCAAGAAGCCTCCCAGATCTCCAGATGCATTTGAGATATCAAAAAAGTACTCCAGAGTGTTGTTCAGCATGGGGGTGAGTAGAAAATGAAGGCTAATCATGTTTTGGGTGTACTATTCCTTTAAGTTTGAGTCTCATAGAAAAAGATGTTTAATTATTAAATGTTTTCAGGATTTATGACAGTCCTTAATCTGAATCCCATATTCTGTCCTCTCATTCTGTCTGGCCTTACAGAGAACAGATTCTTTAGCTTTAGCTTTAGCCAGTTTCATGAAGGAAACACGTCCCTGATCTGAGGTCAGTGATTTCAAGAGGGTTTTAAAAAAGAATGGCTCGTTGGTCATAAGTGAAAAGAGCAGTCACTCTGTTAACTCCCATCATCTCCCATCCCCCTCCCTTTGTTTAATAAACCCCACCATGAGAAAATCTCTGACAAAGGCTGGAGATCAAAAGTAGCTCTGTTAGTGTCGTAATACTCATAATACTTTACTGCAATGACTACAAAAAACTATCACAAAGAACACTAAGTTATAAGGAAATACTTCTTCTCTTAGAAAACTATCAAACACTCTAAAAGCGCTGGTGAAGAAAATAAAACTCAAACTGACAGCAGGACCAACTGTCTGACCTAATAGTCTAATGTAAGAAGTCCAATAATATAGAGTCAACTTTGTTTCATCATTTTTGCAAAAAGAGGGAAAAGTTTTTGTAAGTGGAAATAGAAAAAAAGAAAAAAAAATGAGGTTTTAAGTGTGACTTTTTGGTTTTATTTTTTTAAATAAATGTTTTACATTGAATTAATTCTGTCCTTTTTCAAATTTTATTTTTACAAAAATGTTTTTCATATAAAAATGATATTTACATTTCATTTTTTTATTTTATGTTTTATGAATAACATTTTATCCTAATTGTATTTTTTAGATCACATTTTTTCACTCCTGTTTGCAGGCTTCACTCTGGAGCAGCTTTTCTATTGGTCTGCTGCACATCAGCAGTTTTTTATTGGTCAAGAGCGAGCGTTCTGATTGGCTGGAAGTGAAAAGTACCAACAATTCTTTCTGCCACTTCAAATATCTCTCCTACATAAAATAAATAACTTTTAATATTAATCCACAAAGTTATGATTCTGATTGGTGAAACAAGACTTGATTTAATAATTTAGTATTTGATTAAAATAGAAGTATATGGAATGAAATATCTCAAGTAATAAGCCTTCATAATTAACATAATTAGAAATATTTAAACATTTTATAATGAAATAGTTTGCCTTTTAAATTGTTAACAGATAAAAGGCTCATAATCTTAAAGTCATACAAACATTTTATGAATTTTGTCTCTTTTTCGTTTCTGTACAGTAGAGTGTAAGTAAAACCAATTTTATCCCATCTGAAATATAAACAGTTTTTATTTTGCAGCCTTGAGGATAAAAGACGTTATGCTTTTTTTTAAATTAGCGCTGTTTCAACGACAGACGGATAAACGGCAACAGAAGTCGTGATCCTGCCATACATTTTTAATCTGCTGCTATTCCGAGAAGCGAAGTACTCGAGCAAAGGCCTGAGTTACACAGCAAACAGAGGAGAATATCAATAGTCGCTCTATTTTTACTACCGTTACCCCAGCAGGGAGAATGCAGACCCATGCAGCTTTAGGTGCAGCTAAACAGCCTGAGTTTGAGTGTAATCTGACCCCGTCCATCCTCCCATACTGCAGAATCAGAGCTCCTGTTACACAAATGATTGTACTGTAGTACGCGTCAAAACCATTTCTCAAGTTGGGACTAACAAACTGGAGGCTGTTGGTATAAATTCCCTAAGAAGGAATGAAAACGAATTTAGATGCCCTGCATTATTTATTCGTCATAAAAAATTTCACATTTTCTGACATTAAAACCATCAACTGCACTTTCATATTTTTTATGCTTTGCTGAAGAAAAAGAAAACATATTTTCATTCGAATGAACAAAAACTACGACGTGCGTTTATAATCAGTAAACTAAATATAAACTATATTTAACTATAAACTGCTCCTATAGTCACTCTATTACAGATGGAGTAATGTAACTAAAGTAATCCCTCCCTGGGATTATTAAAGTATTTCTGATTCCTGGTTGATGGGACAGCTGTTGAAGACCTCCACCCTAGACTATGGAGTAAACTTCATTCCATCATTGTTGCAAGCAAAGAACACGTTTTGTAAATGGAAATCTGTCATCCAAAAAAAATCCGACTTAAACAAATGTCTTAATTTTCAAAAAGGTTAGAAAGCAACATCGCTATTTTCGCAATTTTTTTTTTTCAAATTGTTTTTTTTTTTCAATTTTTGTTACCTTTTTTATCGAAGTTTTTATGTTTTTTATCTAAATATTATTATTTTTTTAAAAATACATATTTTTAAATTCCTTATTTCAGATTAAGTTTTACCAGTTGCATTCCTCTTAAAGAAGTTTTACAAAGTTTCATATCTAGATTTCATTTCTTCTCACTTTTCCATTTGTTCCATTTACAGAAATAATGGAACCATTTTCACTCCGCAGCTGAATCAGTAGGAATGTTTTTATCATATTTAATTCTCCCTTCACCCTTTATGCAACCTGCTGGCTGAGCCTAATGATGGGTGGCTGCTAGATGAGGTCTTCACCGTGACAGATTGCCATGGCAACCATGTACCACTAGCTGATGAAGAAATTAAACCAAAATGAAGCAGCTGGGTGGAAACAAAGAGTGTAGCAGGTGGCAGGGCAAAGAAGAAGAGGATGATGATGATGATCAGGAGGAGGATGATGATGATGATGCAGGTGGATTTCAGGGTACCAGTCTGGAGGTGATGTCCAGACCTGCAGAGATGCGGTGGGAGGAGGGGTGGGGAGCTGTTCGGGAAATTCCGGTGCTGAAACTGAAAGCAGCCATGAATGATGCAAACCGACCTGCTGGATCTTTAACAGAACTCTGGTTCTGCTTCTGCTGCAGGAAGTCTGGATAAACGCCTTCTGATGCGGGACTCACAGTAAACAGTGGAGCCTCGCCCCGCTCCCCGCACCGCACCGCACCGCACCGCAGAACTCACCACACAGTGCCATAGGCTCCAGAGCCCACCGGCGTCAGGTTCTGGTACCGCTCCGGAACCTCCCATACGGTCTTGTTCAGCTCCTGCCGGTAGAATCCGGGTCTGGCTGACATTTTTATTTTCTATCTACCAGCTATAAAAAATAAATAAATTAATAAATAAAAAATAAAAGGGAAGAAAAAAAGGAGGATGAAAGGATGAAAGAGCAAAGATAGAAATGTGTAGATTAGACTGACTCCTGCTTCCTGAGCCGATCTGCTGCTGCTGCAGAACGAACCGGCAACCCCCCCCCCCCCCCCCCCACCCCTCCCTCCAGATACTCCACCCACCTCACCCCCCACCCCCCCACCCCACAGCGAAAACTCATTACATAACAGACAAACCCTGATGATTATATATTTATCTAAAATACTACATTATATTGGTATTTATAAAATATTTATTATATCGTTTTGAATAATTTCATATTTTTTATATTCTAGTTACCATTAGGATTAGGGCCGCTGAAAAAAAAAGTTGACTGATTTTTAAATTTTATTTCAGTTTAATATGGGGAAAAAGTCGGAATTCCTACGGAAGAGGATTAGGGCCACTGAAAAAAAAAAGAAAAGTAAACTGACTTTTACATTTTTTTTTTCAGTTTAACATGGGAAAAAAGTCTGAATTCTGAGATTAAAGTCAGAATTCTGAGAAAAAAGTCAGAATTCTGACTTTAATGTCAGAATCCTTTTTTTTTTTTTCCAGTGGCCCTAATCCTCTTCCGTACAATTCTGACTTTAATCTGATAATTCTGACTTTTTTTCTTAGAATTGTGGAATGTAATGTAGATCGGCACCATGGAGGTTGAGATGTGGAGACTCAGCTTCACTGACACAGATGGGAGTAGTTTGGGAGAAACAGGAACACATTGGTGGAAAATGATGGAATTAGGCGACTTTTTCCGTCCCTGAGGATCCCTGCTGATGCTGCTTGATTAATGGAAGATCAGAAGGAGATTAAAACAAGAGAGAGAGACTCTGAAACAGACATGGTTACAGCTTGGTGCTAACATGATTGTTAGCTGTCAGAATTCAGTCAGAATTCTTGGATTAAAGAAAGAATTATGAGATCAAAGTCAAAATTCTGTGAATAAAATTGGGATTCTGAGATTAGAGTCAGAATTCTGAGATCAAAGCCAGAATTCTGAGATTAAAGTCAGAATTCTGAGATTAAAGTAAGAATTCTGAGATTAAAGATAAAATTCTGAGATTCAAGTCAGAATTCTGATATTAAAGTAAAAAAATTCTGACATACAGTCGGAATTCTGATATTAAAGACAAAATTCTGAGATTAAAGTCAGAATTCTGAGAGAAAAAAATAATTCTTAGACTAAAGTCAGAATTCAGAGAAAAAGTCAGAATTCTAAGATTAAAGTCAGAATTCTTAGGAAAAAAGTCAGAACTATGTTTTTTCCCCTCTTAAACTGAAATAGTATTTAAAAATCAGTTAACTTTTTTTTTTTTTTTTTGTCATTGGCCCTAATCCTCTTTTGTACCATTTTATATACATTCTGTGTATATAAAATGACAATAAATGTTGTCTAAGTCTACTTTGTTTTATATTGTATAATATTTTTATATTTTTTCTTATATATTTTTATATATAGTATAGTATACGGTATACTGCAGCCTTCTCAGGGCTGCTCCCGACTCCCTGCCGTCCTCCTGACGGGTTCCACTATGAGGATTTGATGTCCTCTTTATTTGATTATGTCTGTGATTCCATCCATCCATCCATCCATCCATCCATCCATCCATCCATCCATCCATCCATCCATCCATCCATCCATCCATCCATTTTCTAACGCGCTTAATCCCAAGTTGGGTCGCGAGGGGTGCTGGGTCCTATCTCCAGCTGCCAATGGGCGAGAGGAGGGGTCCATCTTGGACAGAGAGGAGGGGTCCACCCTGGACAGGTCTCCAGTCCATCTCAGAGCAACAAAGAGACAAACAGGACAAAAAAACAATCACACACACACTTTTAAAGAGAATTTAGAGAAGCCAATTAACCTAACATCATGTTTTTGGACTGTGGGAGGAAGCTGGAGTACCTGGAGAGAACCCACGCATGCTCAGGGAGAACATGCACATTCCATGCAGAAAGACCCCAGGCTGGGAATTGAACCCAGAGCCTTCCTGCTGCAAGGCAGCAGTGCTTGTCTGTGAAACATTATTTTGAATAACTTTTAGTCTTATTTTAATATGGATTGTATAGTTCTGATTTTAGTTTTGTCTTTTATGCTTGTATGGTTTTTTTTGAGTCTGTGTAATGGTGTTATGTTGTTTCACTCTACATCACTTTGATCCTTTGAGAAATTTTAAAGTGCTTTATAAATAAAGTTGGATTGAATTAATTAGCTGCAACAGATGGTTGACGGGAAACCAAGAGAAGCTTAAACCAATTTATTAGTTTAAGAGGTTTCACATTGGTGAATTATTTTTCAATTAATTATAGATCTGTAAGATTAAATTTTGAACAATTGGAAAACTTTCACATTTCAACATTTACATGTGGACTTTTGGAAGTGATATGTGCCGATACATATTTATTTTTTTCTATTTGTAGAGTTACTCAAAGTTTTAATTCCTGCCCCAGTGACTTAAAGAGTTGGTTTAATTGTTCAGCTGTTAAAGCCTCTAAAAGTCTGGAAATCTAACAGTAGGGGGCGTGCTGTTCCCACCTTTAGTGTCTGACTGTCTTTGGAAATGTCATGTTTTTACAAATATCAGGGTGAGTATCTGCTGTTAGGGTCAGTGTTGTACAGTAACGAAATAAAAATACTTCACTACTGTACTTAAGTATATTTTAGAGTACTTTATACTTTCCAAGACTATACATTTTTTTTGAGAACTTTCAGTTTTAACTACATTTAGGAACTTAATTGCATACTTTTACTCCGATACATTTTCAATGTTTGGTTTAGTTACTAAGTAAAAAAACAACAAAAACAAAAAAGATAAACGCAAGTGTTTTGACCCCAACTAATGACTACAAAGTCGGGTCTTGGGTTCGTTCATCCACACCAATAGGATACGCCTGTTTCGCAAAGCCAGTCTAAATTTATCCTACACTTGGTTGTTTATATTATTTTAAGTGAATTTAACCTTCAAAGTTTACCAAAATGTAAAAAAAAAAAAAAATCATTCAAACTGCACTACTTTTTACTTATACTTTTCACTACATTACTTGAGTACATCTATTTTTTGTCATGTTGGGATTAAGATGTCTAACCCACATGCAGAAACACTCGGAGGCAGAGAAAAAGTTCAAAGGTTTATTTACAGAAATGTACAATAAATGAACTGGTCAGGAGTGGGTTTACCGCTGAGGAGGACAGAGGGGTTAGTGTTGGTCCAGGTATATTGCAGGTTGTTTGATGTTCAGGGTTATACCTGTTCTGGAGTGGAGTGAAGCTGCAGAGGGGGGGAACCTCGAGGGTCCAGAGGCTGTCGGCAGGAAGAGGGCTGTGGGCGGAGGCAGAGCTTACTAAGTGGAGGCTGGCTGATCTCTGACTGAGTCCTTTCTCTCCAAGTTATCTCTGAGGGCGGGCAGGCAGATTACAGACAGATGCAGCCCTCCAGAGTTCAACTGAGAGCGGGCAGGCAGGTAACCAGCAGAGACAACTCTCCAGGATTTCAGTTTGTCAAGCAGGATCGATCTGTGAGACAGAAAGGTAAACAGGATCAGGCTTAGTTCACAAAAAGTCAGAAGACTCAGACAGGCAGGTTGGCTCAGGCCTTGCTAACCATTACTGGAAAACACTCTGGCACTGGAGTGTAGGTCTCCGCCTCCTTAAGTAGGAAGCCTCCTGATGAGCAGATAGAGGACAGGTGTTGTAGACAGCTCATGCTCCAGGAGATCTCGTGCGCCCTCTGGTGGAGAAAGTGGACAAACCTCCAGATCCCAACATTTTTGCAGTAATTCTTATGCTTAAGTACAACCCGTTTCAGATACTTTAAGACTTTTACTCAAGTAACATTTCAGTCAGTGACTTGGACTTTTACCAAAGTCATATTTTGGAGAGGTACTTATACTTTTACTTGACGTACGTCATACTATTATAACTTGTCAGGTTTTATAGTAAGTGGATTTTTTTTTCTGTCTTTCAGTGAGCCAGATTGAGGAGAATCATCAGCAGAAAGTCCAGACACAGTTTACAGCAGATTAATGTGATGATTCCAGAAAAACAAGCTTCTCTACGACAATTAAGGAAGATGTAACGTATCTTTTCAACATTCACCACAAAAAGAAATGAACAGTTATCCATCTGCCTTGGATTTCCCTAAATGGATTCAATCAGATTATGTATAAAGCGCCAATTCACACCACATGTACTCTTTATAGAGTCAGTCTATCAAATCATAGAGACAGTTCAGATCTAAAGAAACCCGGCGGACTGCAGCAAGTCATTGACTCTAGTACTATCAAGCATGGTGCTGGAGGGGTGGTGATACGGGCCTTTAGAGATAGAGTTGAGTCACTAACCGGACAGCAGGTCTAAACACAGCACCGAGTCCATGACAGAATGAGACTGGTGAAGGAATAAAGCCTCTGAAGCGACTGGGAAGAAGTTAGTAACCCTTTAAATGAAGTTTAGCAGGATTAGGGTGTAACACTAAAAACAAATAAGGATTGAGAAACTAATTAACTCAACACTAACAAATGAAAGAGGGACAGTAAAGGAAGTGTTCTAACAGGCTGGGGATTTTAAAATGTACAACAAAAACAAACAGGAAGCAGTTTTTATCAAAGTCTCCAAAGCAAAACAGTAAACAAAGGTACCTGATCTAGATAAAAATGAAAACCACTCCTCCGAGCCACAAGGAAGAAACCAATGCCGTCTCAAGGGGAGGGATTTCCTGAAAAGTAGCCAGTCAGGAAGTTTCCTTTTTCTCAGCTCGGTTCCGCCCTCAAAGCAACAAAAGCTGAGATGAAACACAGAAACAGTTCCTCACGTGAGAATCTACAGGTGGATAAAAAAACAAGTCAAGGCCTCTGGGTTGAATCTGCAAACATAAAACGTACAAAAATCCAATGGTTACAGTGCGATTCTTCTCAATAAAAATGCTCGGATGCAGACGTTGGTAGTAACTAGTCACATTTACTCAGTTACATTTACTTGACTAACATTTTGAAAAAGAAAAAGACTTATATGAGTAGCTTTACTGTATCAAATATCTGAATTTTACTTGAGTAAATATTGAGTAATATTATTAAAAAGTCTCGCTACTTAAACTTAAGTGTAAGGACTCCTC